GATCCCAGGCGGTTGGTTCAATCGCGCTTGGGAATGTGAAATCTAAAACCTAGGATAGAAGGAGGAGTAACCGAGGCAGACAGACAGCAAAACATTGAATAAGAAAAACAATATTTATTGGGCTTATCCGAAAGGATTAACAATAATAGTGACAATATTTAATGTTTAAATATCATTACATTGTATACAAAAGTAAGTAGGTCTACCATTAATATATAAAAAAATCTGATGTGTCCAACACATGACTTTCCTATCTAGTTATTATAGGCATTTTCCGGTTATTTTGTACAACCTATTGCAGCATCTCTATAAATGTTTAGAGGATAAACTAAATATATACATTTTACACATAGATCTACCTCGAAACATTTTTCTATAGATATTCATTGAAAACGAAAATACAGAAAAATTTAAATTTAGCACTTTTCCATTACGGTCCATTTTAGAAAAATCATGTATAAACAAAAATTATAGAAATCGATATCGCAAACAACTTTTAGTTCAACAATTTTCATAAAAATCAGAATTTTGCACATTTTGTCAAATTTCTCGAATACGGACCATTTCAGGAAATTTTGACATAAAGCAAAAATTATAGATAATAATATTAGAAGTAACTTTTATTTGAACAATTTTCTTCTCCAAACATAAATAACAGATATATTCCATAAAATATAAAAACGGCCTCCCATAAAGTACCCCCCCAGATGTTCCAACTTTGTCCAAAATCTAATCATTTCACGTCAGGCCGAAATAAACCTTAAGTTTAAAATTTAATGTTTTTTCCTTTATCCGTTTTTGAGTTTTCTTCAAATTTCGAAATTTACACATTTTCTCAAATATTTCGAATACGGTCCATTTTAGAGAAATTATGTATAGGACAAAAATTATAGAGAATTATATTGCAAACAACTTTTATTTGAACAATTTTTATAAAAAATTATGTTTTTTACATTTTGTCAAATTTCTCGAATACGGACCATTTTAGGAAAATTTTGCATAAGACAAAAATTATAGATATTAGAAGTAACTTTTATTTGAAGAATTTTCTTCTCCAAACGTAAATAACAGATATATTCCATAAAATATAAAAATGACCACCCATAAAGTACCCCCCCAGATGTTCCGACACTGCCCAAAATCTAATCAGCTCATTGGACGCTGAAACAAAGCTTAAGTTTAAAATTTGGTGTTTTTCTGTGTATCGGTTCATGAGTTATGCGTTATACAGACACACACACACACACACACACACACACACACACACACACACACACACACACACACACACACACACACACACACACACACACACACACACACACACACACACACACACACACACACACACACACACACACACACACACACACACACACACACACACACACACACACACACACACACACACACACACACACACACACACACACACACACACACACACACACACACACACACACACACACACACACACACACACACACACACACACACACACACACACACACACACACACACACACACACACACACACACACACACACACACACACACACACACACACACACACACACACACACACACACACACACACACACACACACACACACACACACACACACACACACACACACACACACACACACACACACACACACACACACACACACACACACACACACACACACACACACACACACACACACACACACACACACACACACACACACACACACACACACACACACACACACACACACACACACACACACACACACACACACACACACACACACACACACACACACACACACACACACACACACACACACACACACACACACACACACACACACACACACACACACACACACACACACACACACACACACACACACACACACACACACACACACACACACACACACACACACACACACACACACACACACACACACACACACACACACACACACACACACACACACACACACACACACACACACACACACACACACACACACACACACACACACACACACACACACACACACACACACACACACACACATCGCGAAAATAGTCAAAACGGATTCAGGGGACCTCAAAACGTAAAAATCCGTCGAAAACTCGAGGTCGAAAAAAATCATGATTCCTATACTTTCCTTATATCTGTATACAGATAGGAAAGTAAAAATATGTATATAATTATTTTAAGTCCATTATTTTATCTCATCACAGTAGTTTTTCAGGTTACTTTCTTTTTGGAATGATGTTGGGGCTTCGATGAAGTCAAGCAATTCTGTATTTGGTTTCGTGGCAATTTTAATATTCTTTGTCGTTACGAAATCGGCAAGGTGATTACGTCACCCTTTCTTTATGTTTTCTGGTAATGCATTATACAATTTTATGCACATGTAGTGAGAGTTTTTCTCTGTTAACATAAGTCGGTGAAATGGATCAATGAGTTCCCTGCTTCATGTATTGTAAACTGGTATTAATTCACTGATAAATTTGTTTTTATTTTTCATTATGAAAAATAGACATTCATATGCTGTTTTCTTTAAAAATTGACCTAAATAACTCTCTGAAACTCATTTTGTTTATTGTTCTTAACTCTTTTTTGTATTACAAAAATTCTTGTAAATTCTGAGTTTCTGTCCCAAAACAATATGCCATATTTACATACCGCTTCAAAACTACCCCAGTAAATTATTTTGACAGATCTTTTATGCAAATATTTACTGGTGATTCGAAAATCATATGTTAACCTACTTAACTTAATAGAAAGGTTATCTATGTGATTCAACCAGTTAAGATATTCGTCCAGATGGACTCGCAAAAATTTTTTTGCTATCGATTATTCTAATAATCGATTATTCGAAAACAATCAATTTGACGATTAGTTGAAAATCGATTTTTTTATTAATTATTTCAAAATAACTGATTAATGGAGAATAATCGAGCATTCAAAGAATCGAATAATTAAAAACAATCGATTAAGCAAAAATAATCAATAATCGCCTAGCTCTAGTTAAAATCGTTAAAGAATCGAAAAATAGCTGTATTAGAGGGGAAACATGTTCAAGCCTAACAAATTGTGTCTTATCTAGTTTACCTATTCATTTGAGGTAAAAGCAAGTTGATTATAGTATTAAACCAAGATTTGTTATATTCTGGAAAGAAACAGGAAAGAATAAGGTATTAACTAAATGTGTAAGTCATGATTAGCCCAATCGGATTAGGTGAAGAACAGGCTTGAGATTCTGAAAAATTCGAAGCAGCAATTTTCCTTCGGAATTCGTTGGAGGGGGTCTGTGGTAGTCTAAATTCAAAAAGTTGGGATTCCAAAGTTGTCGTTACCTCCGCCAGCTTGATTTAAAGGGTTATTTTTTGTATCTTGAATAACTCATTTATTTTCAATTTTACACGGAAAATAGTTTTTACAAAAGTTATTTAAAATTAAATTTCCTACAATTCTGCTTTTTTTTGTACGATCGATTTTTTTCGATTTATACCCGAAAAGAGGGGGTGAATTTTTGGTTATAGAATAACTCGTTTATATTCAATTTTACGAGAAAAATTGTTATAAACAAGGTTGTTTAAAATTAAATTTCCTACAATTCTGTTTTTTTTTCTGTGCGCTCGATTTTTTTGTATTTATCCCTGAGAAGAGTGGGGGTAAACTCTTATCATTGTATTATCACGTTTCTTTTTAATTCCAGGTATCAGCAAAAAAAAAACAAACAGAAAAAATAATGGTACAACATCAATAATAAACGTGACAATACAATACTTAGGTTCACCCCCACTCTTCTCAGGGATAAATACAAAAAAGTCGATCGTACAAAAAAAACAGAATTGTAGGAAATTTAATTTTAAACAACTGTGTTTATAACAATTTTTCTCGTAAAATTGAAAATAAACGAGTTATTCTATAACCAAAAATTCACCCCCTCTTTTCGGGTATAAATCGAAAAAAATAGATCGTACAAAAAAAAGCAGAATTGTAGGAAATTTAATTTTAAACAACTTTGTTTATAACAATTTTTCTCGTAAAATTGAAAATAAACGAGTTATTCTATAACCAAAAATTCACCCCCTCTTTTCGGGTATAAATCGAAAAAAAATCGATCGTACAAAAAAAAAGCAGAATTGTAGGAAATTTAATTTTAAACAACATTGTTTATAACAATTTTTCTCGTAAAATTGAAAATAAACGAGTTATTCTATAACCAAAAATTCACCCCCTCTTTTCGGGTATAAATCGAAAAAAATAGATCGTACAAAAAAAAGCAGAATTGTAGGAAATTTAATTTTAAACAACTTTGTTTATAACAATTTTTCTCGTAAAATTGAAAATAAACGAGTTATTCTATAACCAAAAATTCACCCCCTCTTTTCGGGTATAAATCGAAAAAAAATCGATCGTACAAAAAAAAAGCAGAATTGTAGGAAATTTAATTTTAAACAACTTTGTTTATAACAATTTTTCTCGTAAAATTGAAAATAAACGAGTTATTCTATAACCAAAAATTCACCCCCTCTTTTCGGGTATAAATCGAAAAAAATCGATCGTACAAAAAAAAGCAGAATTGTAGGAAATTTAATTTTAAACAACTTTGTTTATAACAATTTTTCTCGTAAAATTGAAAATAAACGAGTTATACTATAACCAAAAATTCACCCCCTCTTTTCGGGTATAAATCGAAAAAAATCGATCGTACAAAAAAAAGCAGAATTGTAGGAAATTTAATTTTAAATAACTTTTGTAAAAACTATTTTCCTTGTAAAATTGAAAATAAATGAGTTATTCAAGATACAAAAAATAACCCTTTAAATCAAGATGGCGGAGGTAACGACAACTTTGGAATCCCAACTTTTTGAATTTAGACTGCCAGAGACCCTCTCCAACGAATTCCGAAGGAAAATTGCTGCTTCGAATTTTTCAGAATCTAAAATACTAATCCGATTGGGCTAGATGGTAAAGAACTTACCTTCATCTTGCATAGACGAATCCGGCGTAACATCCATGAGTACTAAAACATCATTATCGCTATTCACTTCATATTGATCGCTATTTAAACTCTCCGATTTGAAGATCAATCGCACCTCCGATATTTCAACTCGTTGTCCAGCTACTGTAGCGTATCCAGCCTCGACCATTTTGTTTATTTCGTTGTCAGTTAGAGCTTTGAGACCTTGAGTAACTGCTTTGAATTCTTGTTTAAGCCTCAGGCCCAGAATCTTGTGATCCGGTTCGGCTCTCAAAGTAATTCCAAATTTGCTTTTGTCATTGGTGGTGCTGATTTTTCTAACGTTCAATTCCGATAAAATGTAATCTTGCAATAAGATTATGTCGTCCAAGTATTGTTGATCTCTGTGCACGACGATTATTTCCGGTAAGGGATACTTGATGGGTATTGTTTTTCTGTCGCGTATCACTCTTCCTAACTCGATTACGCTTTGCATGTGCGAAATAGCTCGTTCGATATTTAAATTTATAAGTTCGTGATTGGCTTGAGGGAGCATTAAATAATGAACACTGTCTGCTTTGGTACTGAGCAACTGTTTTATATATTGGTACATGGTTTCTGATAGGAAAGGGGAAAACGGCGCCATCATTTTAATAATGTTTAATAGTACGTTAAACAAGGTTATCAGTGCTGCGTAACAATCGGTTTGACCGGTTTCACCCTTCAATCTCTTCCTGTTCATTCTGACATACCAATTCGTAAGATAATCAAAATATTTCGTCAATCTGGGTATTACGTTATAAAGATGGTATAATTCCATTTCCTTTCGAACATACAAAAGCAGAGATTCTGTAAACGATAAAATCCATTTATCCATTATATTGTCACTGCTAATCTTTTTTTCGTCGTAGGTAAAAGGGATATTATAGTTTTGAACAAAAATTTCAATGTTCTGCAGAAGAAATCTAAAAGCATTGTACCACGGCAAGAAAACATCCTTAATAACATCCCGAACGCCTTCTTCTTTAAAACGTAAATTTTCAGCTTTAACTACAGGAGAATTGATTAAATATAACCTCAAAGCATCGGCTCCGAACTTGTTGACAATTTCCAGAGGATCCGGATAGTTTTTCTTTCTTTTAGACATTTTAAATCCGTCACTCGCAAGAACCAATCCATTACAAATTAAATTTTTGAACGGTGCTTTGCCGAATAAAGCTGTCGATATTACGGTAAGGGTATAAAACCAGCCTCTGGTTTGATCGACGCCTTCAGCAATGAAATTAGCTGGAAAGCTGTCCTCGAAGTCTTTCATATTTTCAAATGGATAGTGGACTTGGGCGTAGGGCATAGAACCAGATTCAAACCAACAATCAAACACTTCTGTTATTCTTTTTAGTGGCGGGTTTCCTAAAAAAAATAATGTTAGGGTTATTAAATAATAAAAGTGAGATGTTATAGTTTTAATTCATGTCTACTCATTTTAACAAATGTGTAAGAGTGAATCATAAAAATAAAAAAACAAATAAACAAAAATAAATGATAAATAAAAATAAATGAAAAGAAAAAATAAATAAAAATTAATAAGTAAAAATAAATGAAAACGAAATAAAAATAAATAAATACACAAAATTAAATAAAAACAAATAAAAATGCTAAAAGGCGAAACGAATTTTTTTGAATCTGGAAAAATTACAGGTCTTGAGTATATTTTTGAAGTGAAACTTCATATGGCTTTCCCTGACATGAAAAATATGAGCAATAAATTAATTTAAAAAACGACACATTTTGATGTGCAGACACCTTGACAACGACATATCTCGATGTCCCAACATAAAAAAATAAAAATAAATTAAGATGTTATAATTCATGTCCATTCAAAGTGTAAGAGTAAATCATATTCTTATAAATATATAAAAACAACAAACAATAAAAAAATAAATGAAAATAAATAAAAATGAAAATAAATGAAAATAAATAAAAATAAATAAAAAAAATGAAAATAAACGAAAATAAATGAAAATAAATTAAAATGAATGAAAATAAAAATAATACATAAAATTAAATAAAAAAATGCTAAATGCTAAAGGGCGAAACAAATTGTTTTGAATCTGGAAAATGTGGAAATATTGAGTACTTGAGTACTTTTTGGAAATGCAACTTCTTATTGCTCACCGTCATGAAAAAAAAAAGCGCAACAAATTTATAAAAAAAAAACACATTTTGATGTCACGACACCTTAACGATTATCTTGATATAAATAAAAAATGAATAGAAATAAATAAAAAACAAATAAAAATAAATAAATAAAAAAAAATAAATAAAAATAAATTAAAAACAAATAGCAAATAACATTTTTGAAGTATTGTTAAAAAGTGAATAGAAATAAAAACATAAAAATAAATAATTAAATTCAATAAAAACAAATAAAAAAATAAGAAATAAATAAAAATGAACAAAAATAAATAAATAAATGCAATTAAATAAAAATAAATAAAAACAAATAAATAGCATTTTTGAAGTATTACTCGCCCTGGCATGACAATTATGACGAATAAATTAATAACTGTCAAGGCACCTTGATTACGACATATCTTGATGTCCCAACGCGGCACCTTCGCGATTTAAAAAATATATAGAATAAAAACAAATAAATTAAAATTAAGGTAGTTCACTCTTGACAGTCATACATACAAATATCGCATAATGGTGAATACCAGAAGTTCGAGATTCTCAATGATAAACAATTTTATTGTAAGAGGCTGTACAAAACACATGTAAGCTTATATACAGGGTGTTTCTAAATTCATGTGACAAAATTCAGCAGGTGATTGCTCGTATGAAATTAAGATGGGTCTTTTCTATAACAAAATTTCCTCAGCCCACCCCTTTCCAAGATATCACCCTTAAAAGGTAGTGACTAAAATTGAGTTTTCATTTTTTTTTCTAAAATTTCAGTAAAGCTAGAAACTTGAAATTCTGTAATTTTCGTGCACTCGCAAAGGACTAATCACAATTATTTTTTCCATATTCCTGTCACATTATAGGGGGGTGAAATTAGCAACCCTTACTTTATTTCATATCAAAACTTTTTCGAGATGAAATGAAGTAAGGATTGCTAATTTCAGCCCCTCCTATAATGTAAGAGGAATATTGAAAAAATACCCGTGGTTAGCAGTGTTGTTCCTAGGGATTTTTGAATTGTACAACTTTCAGTGTCAAAATTGTACACTTTTACTTTCGATTGTACAACCACTAATTAATCTTCTTCTTTTTTATTGACAGACTATGGCCTACTACTTTCCCATGCTTAAAATTCTTCTTTTTTCCAGTTTAAAATATATTTTTGATGTAAAACGGTGTACTGATTGGTCGCGATTGGCGCCAAATTTAAACTTTTATTTTTTTATTAATTTTAATGCATGTTATTTAACAAATCGTAGACTTTTTGAGCGAAGAAAACCTTTTATATACCCGATTTTACATAAATATTTAGCAATTTCAAATTGTACAACATTTCTGTCTTTTTTCAAAAGTGCGTACAACAGTACAACCGCATAACTGATTGTACAACTTTTTGTACAATTGTACAACCAGGAACAACACTGGTGGTTAGTCCTGTGCGAGTGCACGAAAAATACAAAATTTCAAGTTTCTATTGTTAAAATTACTTGAGAACTTTCAAAATGGTTAATTTTCATGATTTTCTTGCATTATAAGTTGAATTATAATTTCTTATATGTTAAAGCCTACTAATTAGTACCTGTTATTATCCTCGATTTACCGCATAAAATTAACACATATATGTTAAATATTTAATATATTTCTGCTTAGAGAATAGATTTTTGCGGCACAAATGAACTATTATGTTAATTAATGACAAGTAAAAATATTATGATCACAAACTTTACATTATTAAAAAAAAAAACCCGAATTCACAAGACTAAGAAAAATAAAGTATTAATCTGTAATAAGGGCATCGTTATAAGGGTATTAAACTTAAAAACCCAAAGCACAAGTAAATCCCTTTGTCAGGTAAATGTGTCTGTTTTGAGGGTTAATAGTTAAATGCCGATTGCGTTTTAATTATAAACAAAATTCAAAGTGATTAAGAACCAAATCATTTCACACTGTTGTAATGAAGTCAATTTTCATTATTTTTTTCAACTAATTCTGGGTATTAATTTCGATTTTTACTTAATTTTAACTTCATGGATATGCCCTGTATATCATCAGTTTTATCGCTGTTCAAACCATCGTCGAGGTACTCTGCCTGCGCGAGTTTTAATGGTGGGATTTTCTGGTAGTGGAAGGGCACGCGACGACTGAACGAGCTCCCGAGATTAAATTAAAATTTTTAGTTTCCAAGATATCGATTTATCGAACAGACTTGCTTTTACACCGTGAAATCGAATAGTCGAATAATTAATACGATACATTTCCGAAACCCATTTCTAGCCGCGATTTTACCGATAGGCAAATTGTTAATTTTTTTTTTCTTTATAATTTTTTTCTTGCCCGAGACTTTAAGCCGTGCTATTTGAAACCGATTTGATTTGATTTATTTTTAATTAACAGTGTTCCGTGTTGAGTTAAGCATTGAAATTTGTTTTGATTAAGGAATACTTTAATTTATTCTTGTTAGAATACACCGTTCTTAATAAATTTCATTTTAGTTTATTTAAAGTTTCAACCGTTAAATAATTTATTTTTCATTCGATCGTAAATATAGTCGTATAGTTAATTTTTCCTACTACTGGAAATTTCCGTGAACAAATAATACAGTTTATTAAAAACATTATCCAATAAATAATTGGTTGGAACTGCTTGAGAATTGTCTAATGTTTTGATTGGTTATATTAGTAGAATTGCGACGAGACATTTTCATTTGTTTTATCCTCCGAACTGCAAATTTTAAGAGAATTTAAATAGCATCATTCCCTGTCTGAAGCGGCTCGTGATTACGATCACTTCATCCAGAGATAAGGTGTTATCCCGGTTATTAATTTATTTTACATCTAAAACATTCATTTGCGCAAGTCTCCGTTATTTCAACAGAACTAAAATAGTATCATTTCCCTGTCTGAAGCATCTCGTGATTACGATCACTTCACTCAGAGATAATGTGCTATCCCGGTTATTAGTTTATTTTCCGTCTGAAACCCTCATTTGCGTTAGTCTCCGTTATTGTAAGTCAACTCAAATAGTATCATTCCCCTGTCTGAAGCGGCTCGTGATTACGATCACTTCATTCAGAGGTAACGTGCTATCCCGGTTATTAATTTATTTTACGTAAGACTCCGTTATTTTAATTGATATTAAATAGTATCATTTCCCACTCAGAGATAATGTACTATCCCGGTTGTTAGTTGGTTTTACTTTCCAACCACTAGTGAGTAAACCTCTTATAGAGTCCCGGTTTCAGCCATGGAATTAGTATTGTCCCAAACCTGTCTCCTCGCATTCTCTGCAACCGCATATGATATTTTGCTTTGCCGAAGCATTCAATTACATTTGATTGTAAATACTGATTAGACAATTTAACAGTTAATTTTTGCTACGACCGAAATAATACTTCCAAACGAAATAGCAAGTTACATTTTTAACTCAACAACCGAATAGACAACTCAATAATAAACTTTTACTGCGACTGTGATTATTACAAGTATTGATTTCATTTTTTTTCTTTACGTCTGATTGAGACTACTCGAAAGTCATTTCCGGCCGTTTTGTTTGTTTATTTTTGTTCAGGGTTTGTACATACTACCGTGAGGGTGGGCGTTGAAATACATTAATTTATTCCTTTTCTTTTGTACATACTTTAAAATAATATATGTGTCAATGTTAACTGGCCGTATTACTGGTTGTTAATTCCTAAATTTATTTCCCCCTTATATTTAAGCTAGTGATTAATTCTGTACCAGCCCAAGCAACGATTAAAGCTAGTTACTGGTGGCCTACTATTACCCGTGTCTAAGTGACCTTGACCCCTGGAATGTTTCATCTCCATCTGTAGCTACCCGAGTACTTTCGACGCCGTTTCGAAAGTTCGTGGAGTAAACCATCATCAAAAATCTGGTGCTCGAGAACCGCCCGTAACCAGCGTCATTCGTAAGGAATCGTTTTATCTGTGGCGAGAAAACCCCTTACACTATATACTTTATTTTCATTGCAAATAAATTTTGAAAAATATTTTTTTAGATTTAAATGCATCAACTCAGACATCTTTAGGGCTTTCAGCAGCTAGTTCAGTTCTTCTGAATGCAGAAAAACATTGAATTACGGAGTTAACATGGAAGATGTAGTAAGATTTTTAGAAACAAATTATTCTGAACAATCATGTAAACTTTTGAAGGCACAACTAAACTTTTTGAACAAAGCACCAAAAGGATGTCGATACTCTGATGATTTCAAGCAGTTTGCTTTGAGCGTTTATTTCTTAGGTTCCAAAGCTTATAAAAAAATTAATTCTATGTAGACTACCGTCCAAATCACGGGAGACGGGGATATGCGAATCGTTTTGATGCTACAGCTTGTCAAAGAATAGTTAATTTTAGAATGCCAAATGCTTGAAAACAGTTCAATTTAGACATATTGTGTTTCAGACAAAAATACTTAATTTTTTTTTAGTAGAATTCAATAATAAATTAAAATAATATCAATTAAAAAAAATAATTTCTACCTTGCTCTTTTGTATATTAAAAAATATTTTTACAAAAGGTCCCTCTTCGAACCGTAAAACTTTTAAAATTTTATCATAATTTAACCAATTATATTTTATATTCTTGAGCACCTTAATAATTACATTTTCCTCCATGAACACACATATACCTAATATTGTAGTAAACAAAATAATTATTAATTATTTTAATTCTATTTTTGTATCTTTTTTTAACTAATTTTTCCTAGAGTTTTTTGAGAGAACACGATTAAGCTGATCAAATTTATTCATTGTCACTAATGCAATACTTCCTCATACGAATGGAACGTAGTTTTCCCTTATGGTTATCTAACATCCATATTTGATGACGAATTAAAATATTTACAGATAGGTAGGTATCTGGTATTTTAAGTAGTCTGGCAGGTATTTTAAGGTTAGTTATTTGCAAAATATTAGGACTAATATTTGAAACAGAGAATTCTATTCTTCAGGGCGGATAATAAGAATGCGCAAGCATATTTTTCTATCTGACGGATCGCCCCGATGAATAAATATGGCCTTATTTATTTGTTTTCTTTTCGCAATTGATGACATAATGAATTTTTCGAAACCAGTTTCATAATGTTCAACCCTATTACAAAAAATCCCACTTTATATGTCGAAATTAGAAAAATAAGCTGTTGTTTCATTTTTGTTAATATGTATAAGTAATAATACATCTTTTATTGCACTTCTTCTCGTTTTATTTTGTAATTATTATTTATTCATTTAGCACCAAAATAATCATCATTAAGTCAATAAATTACAAACATTTTAATAAACTTAACTGTTACAGGTAGGTTACATGTTACCATGCCCTCGTATATATTGTATAAATGTAGCATGCTCGGCATTCCCTCGTAAATGTTGCGTCGAGCGTCACCCTTATTTCCTATAATTTTGTCGGGCAAATAATGTTTAAAGAACATCAAAGGCCTTAGCCAGAGTGACCCAACTACTTATTATATGAAGGATGCCGCGACAGTCAAAAAAATTCACCGTTTCTTTAGAAAATTTTATAACTTCTTGATTTACATTACATTAGTTTTTAAAAAATATGGTAAGAACCGTTTTCGAGATATCTTGAAATACATGCATTGCTTGTGTACATGACAGGCTTCAAAAGTGTTAATTACGCACATTTTGATTGTTAATATCTCGTTTCACAGAAGGTCAAAAAATTTAATTTTTATTTAGTTACGTAAAAGACACTTTCATAAAGTATATTTTAATTTTATTGAATTCTTAAGAAAAGCCGTTTTACGAGTGAACTGCCTTAAAATAAATTATTTATTTCAGAGCGAATTCATCTAAGAAGTTTCACTTCTATTGCGAGTTCATTAACACACACTTATTTTTTTAAATATTAAAAAAAGGTTTTACCTGGGATGCGACTTGGAATTTCAATGATATCAACTGTCTCTCGATGCAAATCAGTAATTTTTTGACCGCTGAGCTCTTCCAATTCTGCAATACTTCCGATACAAACTACTTCGTTTCCATCTGCAGACATCCAAATGGGAATAGGCGTTCCCCAATACCTATTCCTGCTAATAGCCCAATCTCTCGCTTCTTTTAACCAATTGGCGAATCTCTTATCTCGAACGAAATCGGGCACCCAATAGGTATCCATGGTGGATTTCTGTAAGTCATCTCTCATATGTTCAACGCGTACGAACCAGGATGGCACCGCGCGGTATATGAGAGGCGTATCTGATCTCCAACAAAATGGGTAGCTATGTTTTATCTGGAAAAGAGGTAATATAAACAAAATATTATTTTTTTTTTTGATAATGTTATATTTCAAACAAAACCCTTGGAATCCCATTTAAAATTATAACTTATCATATTCATATACATTTTTAAAACGATTAAATTACCTGAGACTGATGAGTAAGTCTACCTTTCTCCTTCAACTTGGCTATAATATTCTTGTCTGCATCTTTGACATATTGCCCCAGAAAATCTGTCACAGGCTGCATAAAGCAACCTCTAGCATCGATAGGGCATATAGGATCTTGGTCTCTTGTTATAACACCATGAGCCAAACAAACTCTATTGTCATCTTCACCGAAATAGGGGGCTTGATGTACAATGCCGGTACCAGATTCGGAAGTTACATAATCATCAACCAAAATTTTAAATGCCGTTCCTTTTAGGTTAGCGTAATAATCGAAAGCAGGTTCATAACTTAAACCCTTGAGCTCTTTTCCAGGAAATGTTTTTAATATTTTTATGTCGTCAACGGGAAAAATTGATTCTATACGACATTCCATCATAATGTAGATCTTATTTGTACTGATTTGTTGAAACCGGGCGTAAATTAGATCAGGATGAACGCAGGTTGCTAAATTACTTGGTAGAGTCCAAGGAGTTGTGGTCCATACCAAAATAGATGCGCCTGAAATCGGTTTTTACCATAAATTTAACAAATTGATAAATAGAACTTTCAAAAAATTGTTTAAAGTTAATTGAAAGACATGTGGTTAACATTAACTATTGATAAATTTAATAAATACGTTTATGAATCATTCAGTTTACTGGTAAACATTTCGTAGTATAATTAAATAAGTTGTGGTCCCATATAAATTTGGTTAAGATGTGTCGACGACATCTGCATGATTTTGAAGTTGGTTTTTTAAAATTACTTTTAATACTTGTATTAAAATATACTGCTTACTGTTCAGGATGTTACAGAATCTAAATATTTAAATTTATCAAAATAATTATTAAAAAAAAAAAAAAAAACTTACCTTCCTTATCTCCTATAATTGGTAAACTAACAGTTACAGCGGGATCTACGACATCCTTGTAATTTTGACCAGTTTCAAAATTAGACAGCGGTGTATTGCAAGCAGTGGAATATGGCATTACTTTGTTGCCCTTATAAACCAAGCCTTTCACGTACAATTGTTTAAATATCCACCAAACAGATTCCATAAACCAAGGGTATAATGTTTTGTAGTCATTTTTGAAATCTACAAATAATTATTACCTATACCAATAATAAAATATGATAATGCTTTTAATGTATATTAATAACATCTTAGGCCTATTTCATAAAACTATTTTGCAATTTTAATATGGAATAATGACAAAGATCAATCGAAATCAAGCGCCGAAGATAAAAAAGACAAAAATCAAAAAAATCAGGAAAATTTTAATATTTCAAGTAAGTATTATGACAAGTATGTATTGAAATTATCAGATTTTTTGTATAAAATAGATCATTACAGAGAGCAATCACTGACATTTTTAAATATTACAAAAAATAATGTTATAGTCCAATTAAATAACGAAAAAAAGCCCCTTCAAGCTTACATTAATTTGTAATTCGATGAAACAAAGTGGACCTTATGTATTTTGACGTGGTTTTTCGAAAAAAAAGCAAAAAAAGAGGAATTTTCCATGGTAAAAATGCTAATTATCTGGGCATTATCCCGATAATAAAAATAAATGCACCAATCGAAAGAGGAGGCAAAAATAGTTCGGAAATTCATTGCACAGGTAGTTTTAATGGCGAATTCCTCGCCGCCAGAAGTGCTTTTACCAAAAAGTTGTTTTTTCGTTTCTTTGATCAGAACCATGGACATGAAATTTGCGATGAATTTGTGGCGAAATTATAAATGTACCCATGAGAGAAGTTGCGTATTTTTTTGTTGGCTCTCAAATAAAATAAGTCCCGCGGCGAAATCTGCCATAATTTTTCGGGAATTCGCGGGAAACCGGAAGGCGTAGTTAAGCTATTGCATAGCTTTTATCGCGGGCTTTGAGCGTAGCGACCGAATCAAGGAATTTCGTAATTCCGTAACGAAAATAAACCTAACACCCCCCACTCCGACCGGCACAGCGGTGCGGCGTTTTGAAAGCCGTGAAAGGTTTTATCCGACCCTATTCGTATTAGTATGAAGCGGAGTTAAATATACGTCTGCGGACTGGAACGTTTATGCAATACAAGAACTAGAAGAGCTTTCTCTGGCTTCTAATAAATTGGTATCACAAATGTTCCCGGCTGGCGTAAATATTATATATTATTTTTTTTTGCAAGATTTATAATATTATGCAACGATCATGTAATGATGGTTATTAATACACAAGCATTAACCGGGATACGAAACGAGCCAAAGGCGAGTTTCGTATGGTTTATGCGAAAAATCGAAAAATGGAAAATCAAAAAAATAAAAAAATCTCGAAAATCAAAAAATCGAAAAAGAAATTCCGCAACGAAAATAAACCTAATAGCCCCCACTCCGACCGGCACAGCGGTGCGGCGTTGAAAGCCGTGCATCATCTAACGTCGTTTTAGTTCGGCAGACTTCGGCACGGTGTTTGTGTGCGTGCGTGCTAACTGCTCTTAACTGATTCTATCTCTTTTAGATACAATTTCGGAAAAATTGAATTTGAAAATGAATAATGATCCACAAGAATCCACAACAAAATATGGGACCACCATTGACGCGGTATTTTCCAGAAATTTAGACGATATCAAGTCTCAAACTTATGTTTCTTATTTCAGTTACCATAAACCTATAGTTTCAATGATAAAAATTCCTGAATAACGTGCATGTATTGTAAGATAGCTACGCAATAGCTTTACCGCAGCAGTCCCCGAGTGCCACACGTATTTTTGTTTTTTTATTTTTGTCCCATATGGTTTTCTCCGGGTTTTCTGAAAACATCTAACAAAAAAATATATTTGAAAAAACTAATTGGGGTAAGTTCACCATCTGCAAGTATCTGATGACATAATAAACACAGGCCAGTCATTGCAATCTGGAAACAAAAAAATTATAGCACTGTGATAGAATTTTCTTAATTTAGGAACGTACTTACTCAATAAATTGCTGAAGAAGTCCGAAAAACCACGTGTACACAGAACTTGCTGAACACGGTTATTAAAATCTATGCCGATGAACACTATCAAGAGATTCAATTTGTAATAATATGACCGTTTGAAGTTTAAACTTGTCGGATTGCGAACGCCGAGACCATGGCTATCCTTGATGCAACGTGCGGCTAATTTTGCGGTAATTCTGTATTTTGCATAAAACTCAATAAACGTCTTATAACAAGTCAGTAAAATACAATTTAATAAATTTTAAGCCTAATAAATTTATGTAATAAATTTAAAACTGGAAATTTCAAAAAATAAAATTATAGAAATGCAGTGTATACACGTGTTTTGGATCCCGCGGAGCGCGTGTAATGGGACTTTTGTCGGGAGAATTCTACAACTTAGAAGAAACATACACACTTTAAACTTTGTATACACATTCAAAAGACATTAAATTTGGGTTTGCCTAATTTTCAGACCAAAAAACTGAAAATCGTCAATTTTAGGCAACTTTTCTCAAAAACCGTGTTTTTTGGTCGTCACTCAATGAAAAGTGGTTAAAAAAATAGATAAAATATTTTTGCAGAATTTTCCGTAATGTAAACTTATTCTAGGCACAATAAAGTACCAAAAAAAAGTTTTAAGCCATTGGGTGCACATTTGGCATTTTTGTGCCACTTCAAACTTTCAAAAAAATATTTAGTTTTTTTTAGGGAAAAAAATTTGTTTAATTCTTTGATATCTTGGCCAATTATAGTCCGATATCGGTGAAATTCACACACACATAAGATTTCAAATTCAAGAGTAAGCTTTGTAAATAATTGTAAATTAAAAAATACAAGAAAAAAGTTAAAATTATATTTAGGTAAATAAAAGTTAAATAAGTTTTAGATGAACAATGCAATTAGGCCCGCGGTACACTTTGTCCTTTCGCCATATGCCCCCTTCTGGGAATCAATAGTCACATCCCTTAAGTTCAAAACGTATTTTTGTTTTTTCAAATATCTTAATTTTTAACAAAGTTATGAAGAATTTAGTGTTCGACCTTCGCCGCATTAAAATACTAAACAAATTTAAATCGTCCATACCGCGAGAACGGTGCATCGGATCAACATTTCTCAAGAGACATGAAAATTAGCATTTTTCCTAAGCTTTCAAAAGTCGTAAGCTTCGTTTTGAAAATATTGATTTATTTCCGACATGCGCCTGCGCAAAATTGACAAAATCCAAAATTTCGGCACTTTCGAAAAACAGCTACATTTTGTTTTGCCTTTTTTCGAAAAGATCACCTCAAAATACATAGAATCCATTTTGTTCCATCTAATTACAATTTAATGTAAGCTCAAAACCCGTAATTTAATTCGATTATTAGAAAAATAAGTAATTATAATATAGCCCCATTAAAAGAAATTAATAAATCAAGTAAAGTTAGTAATTTAATTTTTATAAATACACTAGAAGTAAACTTAAGAGGTAATAATAAAGAAATGATTAATGGAAATATACCAATAAAGGAAATAGTTAATACAGTAGTAGGCATAAAAGATAATGTTGAACAAAATTTTCAGGAGATAGATCTAGTTAAAGATAACGATGAACAAATTTTTCAGGGGGTAGGCTGAAATAAGAAGAAAGCAATGTTTTATTTTATCAATGAATGCTCAAAGTCTGCCATACCATTTTGACGAAATTTAAACACTAATTTTAAATGAAAAACCTATGCTGGTATGTTTGTCAGAAACACATCTCACTGATGATGTATTTGATTTTGAAATAACAATCCTTAACTATGATAATTACAGAGTTAACAGTAATAGCCAACATATTGGAGGGGCTATTATACATATATGCAGAGAAACAAGTGAATGTGGTTTGGAATAGAGGTCAGTTAGCGAACCAAAGCAGTACTGGCTTATAACGATTAAATTCATGTTCAAAATGTAAGTTATATTATGGTTAGTTTGTATCGATCACCAAATGGGTCTATTTCAATATTTCTAGATTTTTTGAAAGCATTGTAGAAACATTTTTATGTGACAGTAATTATAATATAGTTGTTACAGATGATTTTAACATTGATTGGCTGACAGACACCGCAACTAGTGTTAAATTGAAAGATTTTTATCTCTGACAATGGCTTAAAGAATAATAGTCAATGATATTACTCATCCTTCTAATAATAATAACGGTGGTTCAATTATAGAGCTAGTTTTAACAAATTCTGAAAAGTTTAATATACCGATTAAAAAGATACCCAAAATAAGTACACATTTTAATATATTGATTTATACAAATGACAGTTTATATAATAGAGAACCTGTAGTAATAAGAAGCTGTGGTAGAAACATTGACTATTCTAAAACAAATGAAAAACTAGCTGAAATCCAATGAAATTATAGGCTGGATATAAATCGGAGATACAATGACTTTTATTCAAAGCATATAAAGGTATTAGATGAAGTAGCACCAGTAAAAGATATTAAAATGTTTCCCATGTATAAAAATTGGTGGAATGAAATTGTTAAAAAAGCTACACTTGACAGGGATATTAGTTATCAGGATTATATTTTAATTAAATCTCTTAGGAATCTAGAGATATACAGACAAGTAATTTAGCAGTTAAGGTAATTCAACAAGAAAAAACTAAATACTATGAACAACAAATTGAGAACAAATATAACTCTGTTAAATTGTGGAAGATATTGAAGGAAATGATACCTAAAAACAATAAAGAACTTTGATTCATGGAGATTGAGGCGGAGTGAAAGTCAAGTAGTAAAAGATATATGTGAAATGCCTGAGGTTTTAAACAAATATTACGTTAACAGTATCAAAGAAATAGTCAATAATATAGAATATAATGTTCCAGATTTTCCTATTGTAAATAAAACTAACAATGTCTTCTTAAAGTTTTAAATTAATTAATATGGACACTTCAAAGGAAATTATTTTTGAAATGACAAATAAAGGAAGTCCTGATGACATAAATGTAGAATTTTTAAAAAATTGTTTTGATAATGTTGCACTGCCCTTAATTAACATCATAAATACTTCTATAGAAACCAATACCATTCCATCAATCTTAAAAGTTTTAACTATAACACCAATTGCTAAAGTTACTACAGTCTGTTCGCTATACTTACG